TATATAATTTTTTTTTTTTTTGCTGAGGAAGATTAGCCCTGAGCTAACATCTGTGCCAGTCTTCCTCTATTTTGTATGTGGGTCATCACCACAGCATGGCTGATGAGTGGTGTAGATCTGCACCTGGGATCTGAACACACAAATCTGGGCCACCAAAGTGGAGGACGTGAACTTAACCATTATGCCACAGGGCCGGCCCTCAAAAACAAGGTATTTTTTACCCATCAGATTAGTCAAGATTACAAGTTGGACAGGTAACAGAACAGTCGTCACCCTGGGGAGCAGTGACTGCAAGGGGCATGAGGGTGACTCTTTGGGTGCTGGGAATGTTCTGTTTCTTGATCTGGATGCTGGATTTTTAAGTGTGTTTACTTCTTAAAAGTTGATTAGGCCGTTAACTTACAATCTGTGTACTTTTGTGTCTGTTACACTTTAATAAAATTTACCAAAATAATTATACTGATTATACTTACCTTTGGCATAACTATTGGTGGGAGAGCAAACAGCTGGAGAGCATTTTAGCAATTTTTATCAAAATGTAAAGTACTGACTAATATTTACTGGTAAAGAAAGACGACCACAATTTTGGAGTAAGAAAAAAAAATTAACCCACATACAGAGGGGAAAAAAAGGCTGGGAAAACATTTGCCAAAACATGTTAACTCTGGATGGCATTATTTCAGGTGATTTTTACTTTATTCTTATCTATACCATTTTAATTTTTAAAAAAACATTAAATTTGATAATGGAAAAATTCCCATTTTGGGACAAAAAGCATTTCAAGTCAAAAAGTACTTTGTAATAGAAAATGTACATAGGGGCTGGCCCCGTGGCCTACTGGCTAAGTTCGGTGCACTCTGCTTTGGCAGCCCAGGTTCGGTTCCCAGGCACGGACCTACACCACTCATTGGTGGCCATGCTGTGGTGGCAACCCACAGACAAAATGAGGAAGATGGGCACAAATGTTAGCCCAGGACAAATCTTCAAGCAAAAAAAAAAAAAAAAAAGTACATAGACCCACCTACCTATCTGTTGGCTCATGAACAGGAAACGGATTTGGGATGACCTCCTTCTAAGAGCCACACATCCTACATCTAATTCAGCCTTGAATTCAGAGTATAAGGCATCTACAGGCACATGGCCTGTTTGACATAGGCTCAGTAGAGGTCTGCTGTCTTGAACTTATCAAAGGAACAGGGGCATTTGTCAGTGTTTGTTTACGAGAAAGTGCACTGGACCAGGCTGTGAGCACAGAGCTAAAAATGTCAGTGACCCCTCTCCAGGAGCCACGCACAGTGAACCAGTACCTCGAATCTGCTCTAATCTAATCATGTGTGTAGAAAGATGAATGGAAGAAAACACAACACCATGTTCACAGAACTTTTCTCTGGGTAACAGAATTCTGGACGATTTTTATTCTCTTCTGCATATTTATCTGCATCTTCTCCAGAGCTATTTAAAAAGAACAAAATTGAAAGAAGGCTGCTCATCATCTCTTGAATGTGCTTGAACTTTCGTGTGGTGTGTTTGTGTGGCTCTTTTCATTGCCCTGCCCATCTCTATAGGATCAAATTCAACCCATATTTTTTCCCATCTCTATTTCCTTCGTGATGCATTCTCTGTCTCCTGCCAGAACTACTTTCTCCCTCCTTTTATGTGGTGTTTATATTTATCACTTTTGGCCTATACCATCACAACTTGTGTGTTTGTCTATTTCCTCTACTAGAGTAAAAGCACCCAGAGGGGCAAAGATCATTTATTATCCATTTTTATTTTCCTATAAGATCCAGTTGATGTCTTTTTCAATAATATTGGTTAAACTGAATGCTTCCATGTTTAAATGTGATGGCTGTAATTAAGAGCCAAAAAGCATGCAACCCCTGATCTGTAGAGGGTGGTAGCATATTTTTAGTGGAAAAGATAACATTTTTTTAGCTCCCTCCATCTGAAATTATCATGAACTTGTCAGTGTATTTGAACTTCCATTACCTTAAATTTGTACGTGGCCTACAAGTTCGAGTTCAATAGTTCCTTATGTAGGGTCATTTCCTTAACAGGAAATAAGACTCAGGCAAAGCCAGGACTTTAAAAAGACAAGAGTTTGTAACAACCAGGGGATGGCCACCAGTAGGGACCCAGCATGGCCACTGGGGGGCCTGGGGCTCTGCCAGCAGTCTGCCGCCCCGGGGCTCCTTCTTGTGTGCTCGTTGGTGCAGCCTTGCCCCTGCTAGACTGAGGCTCACTCTGCGGGGAAAGCAGTCACCACACTGCAGGGTGAGGACAGGGCCTGCTCAGTGATACTCACAGGAATTAAAATTATATAAACGGTGGTCACATAGAGTAAGCCACTAGGGTTAAAAGTTTCTTCAAAGAAATACTAAGACTATTCTATTTTCTGTTTTGTTAGGCAAATAACCTTCAGACCTCTAAATAAAACTTTGAAAGCCTATTTACCTCCTGTTAAATGGAAGGGTAAAAGCCAAGGTGTAAAGTTTTACACATACAATGACCCGAGCTATGTAAAGAGGAGAAACTGAAATGAGAGATGCCAAAACGTTAATAAACAGTGATTATTTTAGAGTGGTGGGATTATGGGTGATTTTTTTCCTTCTATTTTTCTGAATTTTCTAATTTCTTTTCCTCATGAGCATGCGTTCCTTTTAATTAAAAATATTAAAGTGTCACCCCATCACTCATAACAAAGCTTCAACGCTAGGAGACAGGTTGACATCCTGACTTCTACTCTCAAATTCAATTTTCATCTCACTTCAATTCTTGTTTTTTTGTGTGTGTTTTCTTCCTACTCAGTGACCCAACTCTACAAGTCACACACGGGTAAATGTGGTATGACTGTGATCCCTAAGTTCAACTTCACAGCAAAGATACTTTACTTTAAGGATCAAGGAAAAGCTGACATAAAAACCTTGGACGGTCATTTTAAAGAAAAAAGTCAATTAAAAGGGCAGGGGATGGCCTGGTGGCGCAGGGGTTAAGTTCGCACATTCTGCTTCTCAGCGGCCCCGGCTTCGCCGGTTCCAATCCCGGGTGCGGGCTTGGCAAGCCATGCTGTGCTAGGCGTCCCACATAGAAGGTAGAGGAAGATGGGCACAGATGTTAGCTCAGGGCCAGGCTTCCTCAGCAAAAAGCGGAGGACTGGCAGTAGTTAGCTCAGGGCTAATCTTCCTCAAAAAAAAAAAACGCAGTATATTTATGTCAAAATATAGCATCTTGAAAAAGCCAAGTTAGTATGAAACAAAATGATCACGGTATCTGGTTCTAGCATTTAAGTCCTAAGCATAATTCTCACTTTTGAGAATTTTGGCAACATTCTTTCTTTTTCTCCTCTAAAATTAAATCTAGAAACCTTTCTAAAAGCTGGTGAAGGATTTGGTCTCCACATTCTATGGGAAACTCTCAGATGATCAGCCAGTTTGCTCAAATGGAGCCAGAAGCCCTCCTGCGCTGATGTGTGCTAGATTTAATCAGCGAGCAGACCCTGTGTTGCACTTCTCATCAAGGCCCTTCTTATGCCCCTAAGTGCTGGCTTTCCCTCCTGACCATCAGTGGGCACAAAAGCAAACATCCATGAGGTGATGGAAACCCAGAGGCTGCCGCCAGAATGAAACAGACATGAGGCCTCTGCAGCGCTGACGCCAGTTTAAGCCCCCGAGGTGCGCTGGGGTCCGACAGGCGGCCGGGCACAAACATGCAGGCAGAGGGAGCTGGGAATTCTCCACAGCAGCGTATCACTAACTCTAAGCTTCAGTGAATCCTGGGGTTTCCAGATAAAGATACAATCCCAAATAAGAAGAGTTATTGGCTAAAATTCAGTGAATCAAGTAAGTGGGAAAGATAAGTGCTGGATTTCACTGTAGTCACTTAAGTCACACGTCCCTGTCCTCTCCTCACACGTGAGTTCCTTGAAGGCAGGCACCAGGGTTTGTTTATTCTGACAGCTAGGGATAGGGATCCAGACTGACAAATAAAACACTTCTTAAAAAAAAAATTCACCTATTTTTTTAAACACCAAAACAGTTTCCCAGACTGGAACCTACTATTTTCATGACTGAATCCCTTCTAGCTCTTGAGAGGCTGAGGAAAAATGGGTTAGGTAATCTGTGAAGTTACACAACGAAAACGAAAGACTAACAGTAACATAACCTCCTACCCCCTGCACAGCAGTGCTGGTAGGTCCCCTGTCTCTGCACTGCTCCGTTTACTGCACAGAGAGTAACGCAAACCCGTCAGGAAAGGGTTATTACATAGACGAGAAGGCAGACATGTCAGAAGATCCAGGTTTGAGTCTCGGCTGGATCAGAACTCTTATTTGGTTCTGGTTCTTAATCTGGCAATTATGGATAACAGTAGATGTGCCTATTTCAAAGGGTTGTTAGAAGAATCAGATAAGATAATCTATGTGAAGACTTTTTGCACATAGATAAAATAATTATTACACAAATTAAGATGCTCCTAATACCTGAAATAAAAAGACCAAGTGATGTACTGAAAGGTTTAGATCAAAAGCATAGAACTTGAATTTTATACCAGAACCCATAAAACTCCTGAATAAGCACAAAATACAATAAATCTTCTTAAAAGAAAGGGTAATTATAGCTTGTTCTTATGCTATAGTAAAGGCGTGTTAAATATATATTTAGAAATATTTGTATTTTGAGTTGGATATACAAAACAGTAACTAAGAATTTAAAAAAATTTTAACAGACTGTCATCAATTGCTAACACTTCTTTTTCTATTAGGTCTAATCTTTCTGTATAATAATTATGGAAGATTAAAAGAAAAAGCATCTTTGATAAATTAGACGTAAGTGTAGGACACGTTTTTTCTTGAGTCCCTAGAGCTGACGCTGGACCACATTCCTTTTCATAAACACAGGTGACAGAGTGGACGGCCAGCTTTAATTTCTAAGGAACACTGGGGTTGGCTTTACATTTGGAGAAAACAAATATTTCCTAAGCTAAAAACTCATCAAACCACACAGCCTGCGTTCTCCCTGACCTCGCCCTGGAGTTTCTCGTCAAGCTGCCTGTGTTAGTGGAGGGCCGGGACTGCACCTTCAGTGTGCAGGGGGAAGGTAAGCAGCTCCTGGACCGAGACGGGACACTGGGCCCTGCAGTGCCAGGAAGCACCCAGACCCTAAAGCAGTGGCTTTACAAGACCCTCAGGTGCTAAGCCAGACTGTGCTTACAGAGATTGGCGAAGGAAGTCTCATGCCATGTGCCCAGGACGAGCGCAGGGGAAGCAGTACTTCGTGCAAAGGTGACGAAAGCAAAGAGTACCTTGATGAGGGAACAGCTGCATGGAAACTGCTGATTTAGAGCAAGGCAGAGAAGCTTCACAGACACAGAATGGAAGAAAAAACAAATGTGAGTGATGTCCGCAGAATTTTTAAAGGGTGAAATATGATTAGACACTGGATAATTATTACGTTCCCTGGTTTCCAGGAGGAATCTGGTTTTAATTATTGCACTCTGAACATTAATTTCCTAAATATTACACTCTGTAAACAAATGCTAGAACGTACAGTTTTACAGATAGCTGTTTTTTTACCACCTTTACTAGAATGAAGAATCTTTGCTTAAATCAAGAATTAAACTAAAAAATGAGAGGAAAAATGAGCATGAATTAAACCAAGCAATTGCTCAGTTTAAAATTGATTTCCCCCTTAAATACACAGTAATAGCAAAGAAAAAGAAGGGAAACAAATCAAGAAAATACCAAATAAAGGTCTGGGGATACATAAGCAGTACCCTAAAACACTAAAATCGTTTCAGAGATTTTAAGTAGTTTCACAATAGAGGCCTTTAAGTTTTTTCCATGGGGGAGACTTGGTAAACCTGGGAAACCCAACAGGAGTGGCACTGACTCAGAGCTCAGTTTACGTTTAGAGAAATGGCTGTGGCGACGCGTTGCTGTGCACACAGCTGTCAGCACTGTCCGTCCAGGAAGCTTATAGTTCCTAGCTGCTCCACCCAGCTTCCCAGAAGGGAGGTCCGCACTACAGAAGCAAAGTGCGTGAATAACTGACAGGCCTCGACACAGACCCAAAATAAAGTGGAAGAAGTGAATTTAAAACAAAGCTCAACTAAATAGGTCGTTGCTGTAAAAAATTCATGCTCTAATACTAACAATAAAATAAGCTTTTTGAAGAAAAACATTAAATTTTTTTTTTTCTAGTAAATAACATGTTAAAAACATCACAGGAGGGGCCAGCCCTGTGGCCGAGTGGTTAAGTTCGCACGCTCCACTTTGGCAGACTGCAGTTTTGCTGGTTTGGATCCTGGGCGTGGACCTGGCACTGCTCATCAAGCCATACTGAGGCAGCGTCCCACATAGCACAACCAGAAGGACCTGCAACTAGAATATATATATATATGTACAGGGGGCCTTTGGAGAGAAGAAGAAGAAAAAAACAAGAGGAAGACTTGGAACAGATGTTAGCTCAGGGCCAATCTTTAAAAAAATAAAATAAAAAGATCACAGGCTTATTTTTGTTAAAAAATTATAACACACCTCTCATATTTTTTTGAGGTAAAAAATATATTATAAAACTTTTGCCATGGGGCCGGTCCCGTGGCTGAGCAGTTAAGATCACGAGCTCCACTGCAGTGGCCCAGGGTTTTGCCAGTTCAAGTCCTGGACGCTGACATGGCACCACTCATCAAGCTGTGCTGAGGCGGTGTCCCACATGCCACAAGTGGAAGGACCCACAACTAAAAATACACAACTATGTACTGGGGGGCTTTGGGGAGAAAAAGGAAAAAATGAAAAAAATCTAAAAAAACCTCAGAAAAACAAAAAACTTTTGCCATAATTAACACCTGATTCTTCCAAACAAATGTCCCTTTGAACTATCAGAATACTTTGTTGTGCAAGGTACAACAAGACAAGTACCACAAAAGAGGTCAACTTAGTTATCTGCGTGCACTTTACCACTCTTGTTGCTTAAATCTATTTGAGGGCAAGTGTCATGTCCTACTAGCTCCCCCACTCTCTCGGGTCTAATAGAGGCCCTTGCATATAGGACACAATGAATATCTGTAGGATAAAAAATCTGGAATATTTTGTTATTTTCCACAGAGCACTGTAGTATTAGTCTTGTACTTGAAAATCCCAGAACTTGTATACATGTAGAATTTGCTAAACAACATGGGTCAGAAGGAAGAACAGCTTTGGCTCAAAACCCCGTACTAAAGATCCAGAGGCAAAAGCCATCAAGTCTCTGCAACCAGGGTCTCTCTAATCTTTAAATGCCCTGGAGTACCTGGTGTACACGTACAAAATGGGTGTTCAAATGTTTACTGAATTACATTACAGTGTGAAAAATATTGGCAAACTATAAATAAAATTTTAATATTGGAAATGGATCTATTCGATTTCTTTTTAATGAATACTGAGTCCACATAATTCCAACTGGATTTTTATTTCTAGTATCCTTGTTCTTTAACAGCTAAAGATGCATGGAAACCACACACTTGAAATGAAATGGTTATAAAGCGTTCAAAATATGGCTTTAAAAAAGGTTTCTTTGCTCATTATCTAAGAGAACCACTCATGGCTTGGCATTAACCAAGACAAAGTCCCATTTATAGCATTTTTAGGTAGACAGGTTTTATTTTCTGGTTCTAATGTTGGTTCAATTCATGTCCAGCTCAGCTGCACTGGACCTAATAATGGATCACGCTCTCACAGTTGAAATATTCTTATATATCATAGAGTAAATATTACGGATCCTCTTCAGGGTTCTTTTAGTGGCATTTGGGAAAATCTGAAGAGGGAAAGTTTTATGTCCATTTGCCTAAAAGGGCCACAGTTAACACATTTTATATGCACTGAATTCAGAGTACAGTCTCTTGGTTCCACTGATGCCAAGTTCAATTTCCTCTAGGGAGGGAGTCAGAAGACAGTCATTCATGTATTTTTAAATGTGGATTTATAAAATAGTCCTTCTTGTGCTAACAGGATAGACAAGCCGGCTAGGATGATTTGTCAAGAAGAACGCATTTTCAGAGACAACTGCTTTATGTAAGTGATCACCAATTCCTCAAAAGCTAGTGACTGATAAATTACCATGCTAAATTTTATTTAAATAAGGTTTAATGCTTGGGAGGGGAGGGAGCTCATGAATCTCTTATCTAGCTGATTTGACAGCAGAGAACGTTGGAACCCACCCCCCCAAAAAAAGGCAGCTTAGTGGCTGACCCTGCTGTGCACCAAAGACCCAGAAAGCAGTCTTGCATTGACGTGGGAAGTTTGCAGCAAAGGGTCGAGCTGTGTGCAGATTAGCAGCTTTTGCTTTTTGACCTCAGGGAACAGAGCTTTCAACTGCTTAAAGCTCAGCAGACCCGGCGCAGGCTGATGTTGGGTAAACCTGACAGCAAACCATACTTACTTCAGGGAGTGACACGGAGCTGCTTTAAATACTTCTGCTGGGGACTCAGTGATGGGAGTGGAGATAGGGAAATATTCTTGTTTCTATCCAACTAAATAGCAGATTTCAAATGCTAGACTGAGGAATCTGGATAAGATTTCATCACTTTCAGTCCTTTGATATTAGCAAACTCAGCTCCACAAAGAATTGAGGAGATAAGGATATAAGATTACATGGAGCTAAGGATATAAAGCAGTTACCTAATTACAAACAGAGTATTAACACTTATAAGAGGTATTCCCTAATAGCAATAATTAGGTATATAGATATATCAGGATCCTTTTATGAAGATAAGCCTGCAATTTACAGATACAAACGGGTTTCATGAGAAAGGCACTACTGAAAAGATAAACCCTTTCTCCAAAAGCATGGTAAAATAATGTGGCAAACCCAAGGGTACATAATTTAAAATTTAGAGACAGGAGATACTGAACACCGTGATTCCCCTTAACTAATTCTATTACTTTTAAAGCTTCGATATCTTTTGAGAATAATCAGAGGTTTCTAGGGTATAGTGGTCTATCCAAGGAGCCATCTTTGGAGAACTACTGGAGGTGATGCCATTGGTTTAAAACTGTAACCAAAACCATACATGCCATTCTCTGATATTTATAAATAACTCTAAATAAGAGGTTGCAGAGTAGGATGATTTTGAGTGTGTGTGTGTGTGAGGAAGACTGGCCCTGAGCTAACATCTGTGCCAATCTTCCTCTACACTGTGTATGGGATGTTAGCACAGCACAGCTTGATGAGTAGTGTGTAGGTCAGTGTCCAGGATCTGAACCCGTGATTCCTGGGCCACCGAAGCAGAGCATGCGAACTTCACCACTATGCCACCAGGCCAGCCCCAGGATGATTTTTTTAAGCAAACGATATGGCTAATGCTCAACCAACACAGGACAAAAGCAATTAATCAACTAGCAGGGGAACCTGTACTGGTCTTTATGACCAACCTAATGGTTTTTCTTTTTTCATTCTTTATTGCCATCAAATATATAATGAGCATTCAAATTCCCATTCTCTCTCTCTCTCTCATTTTTTTTGGTGAAGAAAATTGTCCCTGAGCTAACATCTCTGTCAATCTTCCTCTATTTTTTTTTCTTTTTTTGCATGTGGGATGCTGCCAGTGTGGCTTGATGAGTGGTATGTAGTTCCACACCTGGAATCAGAACCTGCGAACGCCAGGCTGCCAAAGTGGAGCGCGCGAACTTAACTACTATGCTACCGGGCCAACCCGAAAGCTGAAGGTTTTATTGTCACCATTAGTGGGCAAAGATGGGGAGAAATCCCCTAAGAATTAGTCTCGGGAAAAAAGTCAATACAAATCAACTAATCATTTTGATAAGTTTAACGCCACTTTAGTAGCCCAAGAGGCAAAGTTTTGGTCAAAAGAAACAGAACTTTAAAAACAAGAGGACCAATATAGAAGGAGTCTATGAATTTTCTAATTGTGATCAACATTATAAACAACAAACAATGCAGGAAATACAGAGTTCTACAGAAGAAAAAGAGGGTCGACTTAAGGTAAGGCAGATGGAAGTAATGAGACAGCAATAAACAAACAAATAAATGAAACAAAAAGGGCAAGGGAAGGAAGAGGGACGACAGATCACAGATACAGAAGGCAATGAATGTTGCAGAAAGAGCACTGGGCTTGGTTCCCAAGAACTGTGTGATAAAGCAATTAACTTAGTTCTTCTACAGCAGCCTCCCCATTGAACAAACACTGTGAGCCTAGAACTAATTCACCTCTTCAGTACCCCCAGCCCCAAATGCTAAGATTTCATGGTGGGGGGGGGGGGGGAGGGTGGTGGTGAGGGAGAGAATTCAGTGGCTGCAATACCTAGAAGAAAGTAAATTTTAAGTTTTGCCCTGGCTTTAACGGTTGAAACCCTGATTATGGGGCAAGATCACAGGCACACCCTAGGGCAGCACTTCTCAAATCTAGGGTGCATAAGTATCACCTGGGGTGTTTATTAAAATAGAGACCGCTGGCTGGGCCCCACTCTTGGAGTTTCTTGTGCAGGAGGTCTGGGGTGGGACTCTGGCATTTGCATTTCTAACAAGCTCCCGAATGATGTTGATGCTGCTGGTCTGGGACCGCACTAGCAGAAACACTGTCCTAGAGAATAAGTGACAGAGGGCAAATGAACATGGTTATATGAGGGGGAAAAAGTTGGCCAGATTTCTCTTATTTCTTGGAGGAAAAAAATAACCTGAGTAGGGGTAGTAAGGTGATTGTTAAATAAATGTTGGATCAAATAATTTGTTTCCTTTGCTGACCAAAGCTTTGTTTTTGACCAAAGCTTAATAGATGAATACAGTTATTTAATGTAATCGTTTATAATATGAATTGGGTATTATATTTGCCAAGTTCTTAAGAACCTTCAAAACTATATGTTTAAATGTTCATGCAAAACTGGGATTATAAACTGGGGATTCTATTTGTGGATCTTGAACATCACAAAATAATTATAATACATCATTTGGCTTTTTAAAGAAAATCTATGCTAACACTTAAAAGAACTGCATATAGTAACTTTTCCTTACAGAATGAGGTGTTTCATAAGTAAACTTTTCAGGTAACGGAATTTTAAGCTCCAAACCTTTTACTATTTTAACCATTTTAGAAGAGTATGTTTCTGAACAGAAAACAAGACCATAACGGAAGCTTTCTTCATTACCCACTGTCATCATAACACACAACAGCGTCAGTTCTGTAAGGAGTAACACCTCCAGGGTCGACCAGAGTTACAGGAAACCATTCACTCTGATACTGAATGAGCCCAGAATTCTGGAGTTTCGCCATTTCCGCCATCTTGTTTCTCTCAGCCCACCTGAGCTATTAGCTATTATTTCTCAGTGTATCCACCTCTTAGTTGCATGTGGAATTGGTACACTTTTCCCACTTGGACCTGAGAGCGACTCCACAGTAAGGAACATGCTTACGGGCTTTAAGATGCTACTTTCTTGAGAGAGCTCTTTTGTCTGGTAGTTTACTCCTAGATTTTCAAGTTGGTGTCTGGATGGTTGACTTGTTGCTGGCAGCAGGGAAGCGGGGTACTATTATACTTTGTATAGTTTTTAGATACAGTATGCTGTATCAGAGACACAGAAGCCCTTAGGGCAAGGTTAGTGTATCAAGTAAGGGAGAATTATAATTCTGTTCACTTACAGGGTAATGTACCTTAGGTTGCTCTTCCTGCCAAAACTCTAAAAACCTTGGAACACTATCTGAACACTCTAAACATCTATCTTATGTATAACTGTTTGAAAGTAGAAAGCTTTATAGAATAACAAAATTCAAATCAGCTACAAGGTAAAGAAGAAATCTAAGATGAACCTCATGATAAAAAGGTGCAAAATCCACTACAAACTGATAACAAGGGAATTCCTAATGTTGTATATTAATATTATTGTTCAAATTTATATAAAGATTATATTTACTGACCTGGGGAATGCTGGGAAGTTGCAAGTGAGGTCATGGAATTGGAAAGGTTAAGGTTAGCAGTAATACTAAGCTGGCTCTGCACTGCAGGAGGATAAGGAGATGTGGGTGTCAGGAGGGACTCCTCACTGGTTTCTTCATCAATTCCAGGCAAATACGTGTCAATCAAGGCATCAAGAAACTTAACAATAAGCTCAGCATAGTCTGGGATTTGTGTTTGCTGTAATGGAAAATAGGAAATTATTTTAGCTCCATTTTTTTTTTTGTAAATCCCCTTAGAAGCCAAAAATGATTAATTCAATTTTTGTTTTGGGCTTAATTTACTATTTTTCTTCCTTTGTATTATAGATTAAAAAAGAGGGTAGAGTAATAGTTATAGACTACCATGGGACTTACAACTGGGAATTTTATTCAGCTTATACTTCCAGCTTCCAGAGGAACCTGCAATTACTGAAAGCCATGCGCAGACAAAGAATGAATTAAGCCTGAGACAATACAATCATCAGGAATGATGTCTAGTCAATTTTCCAAAACAGAGAAAATGAGCAGAGCATCATCATCCCAGCTGCCATTTAGAAATTCAACTAACTAAACACTGAAGGTTCAGAGGGTTACTGGCAATCAAACCACAATAATTCCTGCAGGATATACTTATTCCTGTGACTTCAGGCCCATTTTTTTAATCACAGCCTTTGCACATCAAGAGATATTCAGTGATAACTAAACAAAATAACAGACAAAATACTCAATTATTAAAATTAGAACACGGTTTAGATAATTCATCTTGATTTAGCAACGCTGTATGTAGAACACTGCCCTAGGAACTGTGGGGGAAGAAAGAGAAGTCCTGCCTTCAAGGAACCTCAATCAATCTGGAGAGAGGCCACATACAGAGAATGATTAAATACACATTGATGTAGCACCATACCAACTAATGCCAATCAAAGAACAAAGTGAACAGGAGCAAATGAAGATATGTTCAGGGAAGAATGAATCTAATCCAACAAGTTGGAAGGAAAAATGTTTTCATGGGATAGATTTTTTTCATTATGTAATTTTTTAAAAATTGAGATTTGACATATAACATTGTCTTAGTTTCATGTCATGAGGCAGATTTTAACCATAAGTAATGCTCCTTCCTAATTACAAGATACTTAAGTGTGTGTATTAGGATCACTAAATACACGAGAGACTCAGGGCAGAAAAGTTGACAGAGGTTTATCATACCCTTGTGAAAAGTCAAGCATAAATTGAATTGAGTTGTTTTTTGTAAAAACTAATATAGAAACATATTAGAGGTGCTGGCTCTTGGAAAGAATCTTGTGGTGGAAAACTTTTTATAAAAATAGCATATGTGTTTACTGTGAATCATCATTCTGGGTTTCAGCATATTGTGTGTTCTTAAAGCAGGCACACTACTATGAATAAAAACTTTCATTTTGTCAATAGAGAAAAATAGTTTTTCTTACCTTTGAAAACGGTCCTGCAAACCGCCACAAGCCATTAAAACCAAAACCTGCAACAAACCAAATGTTACTCTTATAATAAGCATGACATTCTTTTAACCTTAAGAGAAATTAAGTAAGTTACATAGTTGATGATATATAAAATCTACAGCACATTGAAAACTTTTTAGAATGAGTGTCAAAGTAGACAAACTCACTGAAAATATACTCAGTATGAACCATGTTTTAATTAAAAAAAAAAGTTGTCAACAGTTATTTACTGAAGATACAACGAAAAGAGTCAGAAAACTGCGTTTGGAGGGAAAAGCATGAACGAGCCTATCCCCTGGAAAGCACTCTGTAGCCAGTGCCCTCCATAAGGCTGCAGGCGCCAGCAAGGCCCTCAGCCATCCTCCTCCCGGCGCGTGTACTTACTCTGCAGGTAAGACGTCTGGTACTGTGGTGGGGACTCCTCGTAGTATACCACACTCTGCACAATCCCATGAATCGGATTTAACAAATTTGGATCTTGGCACAATGACAACAGGGTGTTGATCTTGGAGTCCAACAAATTGTGCCTAAAAAAGAAAAAGTCAACAGAGGAACATTTTAAAGGAAAATTAAATGAAAATATATACTGGAAAACATATTATATATTCCCCCAGAACAATGTGATAAAAAGGAAGGGAGACGAGTGCTTTTTACTTTCTGGTGCTTTTCCAAATTTTCTGTAGTGAATGTGTATTTGCTTTTTTGGTTTGTCTCTCTGTTTTGTTTTTTTTTTTGTCATGAGGGGAAAATACGGTAAAAACAACCAACTAGTACTGTCATATAACCATGTTTAACTACACGGTGACTGCTCAGGACAAGATTGGCTTCATTCAGCCACTCAGTGTGCTTTGAGACCATCTCTTTCTGCTGACTGCTCATATGCACCCAGGGAGTTAAAACTAAAGTTAATATCAATCAGTGTTTAATCAATGCTGAATCAGATCGAATAAGGAAAGCAAAATTAGTCTAGAGGGGGTGGAATATATGATCCAATTATTATTTCTAACCTGGTTACACTCCATTAATAAAAATAACCAAGAGCCAACAATATAAAATTATGAGATTTTTAAATGAGATGAAACAAAAATAAGGAAATCATGACACTACATAGAAAGACTAGATCAGGAATAGAATTTCCCAAGTTCCTTTGGGTTATTTAGATTTGAACACTTTGAGGATAATGTGACCTTAGCCCTTAAAAGGAAAGAAAATTCCTTTCCTAAGTAGGAGGTCAACTTCGTTTTCACTCGGCTGTGGACAAATATGAATGCCCTACTGAAAAAGAAACCAAAATTGGTATGCTGACTTGACTACAGCAGTCTAATGGTTTGCTCCTAAGTGAGGAAACGAACAATGCTCATCATGATGAACCAATTAAAAAAATCAACAAGAAAAAAAATGCTTTTCCTAATGGGCCAAAACTAGTCTAGCCCATCAAACCCACTGTCTCCAAGCTAAAATCACTCTCACACTACCTCATGTTCCACTCTCCACAATCAGTGAACATCACTGGATGATACTTTTCCTAAGCTTTTATAAAACATTTGACCTCAAAACACATACAAAAGTTCAACACAAAAGGGGATACTTACACAACAGGAAAAACTTTGGGGAAAACAACACTGGCTTCTGCTAAGTATTCATAAAGAATTCGTTGATCAAACTCATCCGTGGTGTATTTCACCAGTGTAGCCTGCCAAAATGCAAAAAAGTAAACCAAAAAATTTTATTGGGTGGCTGGATTGTTATCTGTTTTGGTGAGAGGCAGAAGTTGGCCTT